TGAAGCCGTGACAGTCTGTATTAACCTAGTACAGTATACTCAGGCAACGTGGTCGGCCTAGACTTAAAAGATGCCAGCATTTACTTATGTGATCATAATCACATTAATCGATTTGAAGCCAATCACGTGCGTGCATCATAACTGTGACCTAACCAAAAATGTGACTTTGAATCTGCTTAAAAACGTAGGAGGGAGGACACAGGCTAGATCACACTTAGTACGTGTAAGGCACACCTAAACACGTTATCTACAGACACACGGACACACACCGAAGATAAGTACGATTAAAAGTTCGGCATTCAACCTTGAGCACAATCGCTAATAGCTTCACCCTTCGGGCTTGCAACAAATAGAAACCGAGATGTATTGGACATGTAGTTACGAGTGGTTCATGGTCATCTCTCAAGTCGTTTACTTAGGGAAAGACCTTCAGTCGTCTATTGCGTGCTCAAAGAAGTTTGCCTGATTAAATTACTGGCCATTTGCACGATAGATGCATATTGTTGGGCAATAGCGGTCGTTCAGAGGCATGATGGCGCTATAGTTGTCGTACACACATATTGTGCTGTGGTATGTATAAAGTGCATGGGTGTATTTAGTAAAAGTGGGGTGCATTCATCGATACCCTGAATGTATTTTGTCTTAGGTTAGAATGAACGGTGCCCAGAATGAATCTTATATCCTTGTGAATAGCTTATCTTGAGCGGGGCAACGTTCTTTGCATCCTTAAATAAATTGGCAACGCACGTCATTGAGAGCCAGAGGCTGAGACGGTAGTATATTTGATGCAGTGTCGTCTGAATGAGTTAAAAATTCATATACTTCAGCGAAAGGGAGTTTTGCAATTTCGATAACAACGAGTCGTGATCGTTGGCGTCGTACATTTCGTCATGTTTATCAGCGTGTATTGTTCAGTCCAGCGTTTAGGCAGTCCAAATCAACGGTGACTTGAGCATTCCAGTTGCTAAAGTGATCTAAATTTGGGGGTGGATAAATAGGGATGTTATACAGGGAGCTGACTGTAAACGAATCGAATGTATTCATGCGATCGACCGAATGAGGAGTCAAAAACAGCTGTCTTGCTGGCTCAGTAGTTGAGCCCCTAAATCGAAGTGACCAGTCTGTCTTTGCGTCGCCGTAGAACGAGGAGTATTGTAGAAAGTATAATGGTTTTAAGGATTGGTGTGTTCGAGATACTGGTACTTCTAGTTGAGCCTTTGATTGAGTGTTAAAGTACCCGAGGGGTAGATGTATCTCAACGAGAGGTTCATAATCGACCAGACGTTTGATGAGTTCTACAACCAACATTTCGAATACCTTTATAAACATGCTCTTAGTTTCCCGCCGAAGCGGCAAAGGCCAATTGTATCGACCGGGCATACTGGACTGGGGTATGCTACCAGAGCCTTCCTGTAAGCCGCCGTTGTTTCGCGTACCCCAAATTGTTATCTAGGTTTTGGACTGAAACACTCGTGGCGAAGACAAGCTCTAGAGTTTGCTCGTCTATCTTATTTTTTCCATCTCGCGGTATGTTTTGGTTCTCGTAAATGCCCGGTACATTATGATCTACCCACATGCTCTACAACCAGTGGTTCGATCCGAGGCAACAACAGCGCGGCTTATAGTTTAGGGCTGCTTCATCCTGGCATTTCTCGATCAATCACCACCTCTGACTCGTCAATCCCGAAATTTTCATAGCCCAGTACACGCCGATGGCCGCATCAGCCTTTCCCCTCCGGACGGAATTCCTCTTCGCGGGAGCCAAGGATGACGAGGCTTTGTCTCGAGAATGCCGCTCACGTGACCTGGTCGTGCAAACAGCCTATAAGGGGTAGGAAACGACGTCTGGTCGTGCAAACGGCCGGTAAGAGGTAGAAACTACTTCTGGCAGCATCCTCGCGCCGCATGATATCGCTTCGGTGGTCACCTCCTACAGGATGAAGGGCTGCGTCGTTGGCTACTCTGGGGTCTGGCGTCCCCACATTATCGCTGTTGTATCGTCGACGCGCACGCCACGTAGGCGGACCACGCTGTGGCTGCCACTTCGTTTAGTCTATCTAAATAGACACCTATCTGCTGCATAGATCAGCAAACCACTACGAGCGCTTGAAAGATAGGCGCGCATTGACTGGGCTGGGAAGGGTTTCAAGCCTACCCTAGACGTCACCTCACTCGTCCGTAGAAACTCGCCAGGACAAGTATTGTAATCGATGCAGAAGTTCGGACTCGTTCGTTTCAGACGTCTTGTGCCCAATAGCATGAACATAGCCGATCATGGGAGTACCACTACTGCAACATTGACATGGTAGGGTCAGCACATGACGGGAATGTGGTTAAGTAACGCACGTCTCGGTACACAACATAGGGGCACCGTGTCGGGAATAGGGACGAACAGCCGACCGAGCATCCGTAGCTTACGACGAACCATCGACCGTCTTTTCTGTTCATTGTGTTACTACTGCAACAGAGACAGAGACCACGAGTACAGACGAGTTTTGCACGTGCTCTGTTGTCCTGTCGAAATGAAGGAAAATTCCGTGCAATTTTAAGCCTCGACCGGTCGTTCATCGTCAGTCTTTGTGACCATGTTACACGTGCATACGCGCTGTTGAGTCCCATTCAACTCGGTAAACATGACCGACAATCTGGGCACTATGCTCACCCGCTCTGCTTTGAGCCACTTTACTTTATTACAGTCATTCAACGCTCTGTATAACGCCGGTTTTAGACCCGACGTAACTCGCTCTGTCTCGATGTACGGACGCATTCCGTGCGACTCGACGTTGGATCGTCCCTATGGTGCACCGTCGCTGTGAGTTGAAAGCAGAAGAGTCGGTTGCGATAGATGTATCGCTGGGCGGCGATAAGGGAAGAAGGAGACAAAGCATTGACGCAATATCCAACGCATTCACGAGATCAACACGCGATTGTATCAGGTCCGTCGTCGCTGCATGAACTCATGAAAAAAAATAGGCAGCTGAATCTAGTCCAGACAACAGCGCTTTTGTGGCACTTCTGCAACTGCAGATGTCGTGAAGCGTTTGTGGTTCATGATGACAGACGATTTTTGACTGTATGCATGCGTAGAAATTACTCACGTAATGCATGACCATTCCAAGGTCTTTACATGATAAAAGGCTTGATGTGTGGTCGTTTCATCGTGAAAATAGAACGAGCACACACACACATTGAGAGCCCTCGTCCTTGATGTGCTCCTACGATTTCTGAAATAAAACGACAGCACTATCGAGTCGCAGTAACACGATATGTCCGCATGTTCAAATAAAAGAGACTATACTCTATAGTCAAAGACGTCGCGTTGTCGCGTGTCTTCAGTCCGCACACTGGGACGGCCAGGCTAGCCGACTGGATCAGATAATGTCCGGCTGGCAAGACTGGAGCGTTGTTTCCTCGTACCGTGCTGTTGTGAGAACGTTTGCCGCTCGCCAAGACTTCATTGTGAAATTTGCCGTCCACTTGGAGACTTGACACCTGAGCAACCATGCGGTACCGCCTCGTTGTTGCTGTGCTTGTGACCACCTTTGTCGCAAGCGGCGTCAGCTTCGTCAGCGCCGACTCGCACCCTACGGAAGACGACGTGAACAGGAACCTCGAGATTCATCCTGACATAGAATCTGCTGCCGACACCAAGGACGAGGAGAGGGCTTTTTTTGGCGTCAACTGGTTCGGTTCTGCCAAAAGCCACATTCCAGGACTGAAGGGCATCGGGAACAAGGATGACGCGGTTTTAACCACAGTGAAGAGCTCTCTTGGAAGGACAGACGACACGCTCGAACAGGTGGGTACGCGCAGTGACGAAATAGTCGAAGATGCCGTGAAGGTGATGAGCCCCACTCTTCAGAAGGCAGAGCAGAAGGTTGCAGAGGCAGGGGTGGTCACTAATAAACTGAAGGAAATGACGAAGGAAGCGGCCAAAGCCTTGCAGGCTAAGCAAACAAAACTGGAGGGGCTAGAGAAGTCCTTGATAGCTGCAAAGCTAGCGACGAGAGACGCTAAAGCCGCAGAAAAGGCGGCGACGGCTCTTGAGAAGAAGGCTGCACACTCTAAGAGAATCATGGCTGAAGCTGACGAAAAGGGCGCGGCAGCACTAGTAAAGGGGGCTTTAGCAGAAACAAAGGAAGCGGGTAAGACACTTACAAAGGTGGGTAAATTCTGGGATGTCGCGAAGACCAAACAAGTCAAGCTCCGTGGTCAAGCCAGAAGAATTGAGGCCGGCGGCGCAGTGAGACCGACAAAAAAGATGGTCGCCGGTGCCCTCGCTACTGTGGCTATGATCTTCGCTGCGCTCGCTGGGATGTCTGCTATGAAGTCGGCCGCGAATGACAAATTGGTGCCTCTTGAAAGCATGTCGGGCTCGGGTATGTTGGACTCGAGTATGTCGGACTCGATTATGCCAGACACGACTATGTCGGGCTCGGATATGTCGGATCTCCTCGGATTGTAGCCTTGTCCTTGCAGGCAAAGCTGCTCCCTTTCTTTCAGACAGACGTCAATAAAAGCTTGTGCCACTTTGTCGGTTGCGTGTTTCATCGCTTTTGTTCTGTCCAATTTGTGACCGTAACTAATAGCGGCTTGACGAACACGCGCTTCATTGGTCCCTGTGAAGTCCATGCATGCCAACGAATCCATTTGGAATCGTTAACTTTATAGCTGGACAATTCATGACATGTGGTTCCCTCAACTCTTCGCTCTCTCTTTCTCTCTGCAGGCACATGAAGGAAGAGATGAAGAGCTGCAGGTAAAAAAGCTTTGTCGGTTGTCCGTGCGACATGGACACGGCTGCAGCTTGAACATTAATGCGAAAATACTCCACCTTGTCCATGTGGTGATGGTTCAATATCGATCGAACTTTACCGGCTTAAGTCGTGCACGTGTCTTGGTGACTGGACCACGTGCGGGATTGAGTGGGGCAGCACGTGTCCATGAACTGCTGGACCCGGTGCAGCTTATGTAGCTAGCTGCCTTGTCGTTTAGTCCAGATGGTCGTGTTTACGTGCTTTGTGGACGGGCTGCAAGTGCCCGTGGAGAAGCTGATGACGGGAGCGCCGTGGAGGTCATCAAGCACACGAGCGCGTGGGTGAAGGCGAGCGGGAAAAGCTTGCATGCTGCTGTTCCGAGCCAGTAATGGTAAAGAAAGCTGGGCTGCCGACGCTGGCCAAGATCGTGGCCATCATGTGTAGCAGGAATTCCGTCCCGATGTCTTTCTTTGCCGAACGCCGCACAGTCGTAAGTCGAAGGCAGCAGCGCGACGAGAGCTTTTGGGAATGAGGTGGTCCGACTTGATCGTGTCTACGAGTGCTAGCCGTCACTGTGGCTCGTTCTCGCTCGGACATTCTTCATCAATTGGTGCTGCTGCTGCTAGACGAATCATCAAGTACTTTGCGTCCAACTGTCGTCACTCTTCTATTGGAGCGTGCGAGTTCTCGGCCGATGTCTGTACCATGTGAGACTTCCGTAGCAGATGCTATCGTATGTCTAGAGTAACGGGTGTTGGCCTTTAGATGAACGAATATTGAGCAAGTCATGTTCGCGTCTTGAATCTCGACCAGTCACGGTACTTGGAAACGACAGTGGAGGCCCACGATCACCTGTGCGGATGGAAGAGCTTGGGTCGATTGATCTGCAGGCAACCGAAGTTGCGGCCACTCAGCGGTGTTTGCCATCACCTGATGCAGAGACTCGATCGTCACCTTCAAGCTCAATCTCGCCACTCGTACTCCGAAATCGACTCCGACACATTGCCACACTTGCAACGATATCGCTCCTGCTCCACCGGGTGTCCGCACATGCACGTTCGATATCAAGTTGTAGATGCGTTCTTGAAGCTTCAAGACATTGGTTCTCGTCTCTCAGGACGATGCGGTTCTGGCGTGGATCGTTGATCAAAACGTGGATGACATGTCGCGGTCTCGTGCCCAGGTCGATACGGCCTTGGCTTGAACGGCAGTTCTAAATGTGATAGACACACTGTGAGCGGTTGCTTTGGCTTCGGCTGTCTGCACACCCGGCTATCTGCGACCGACACAAGATCCTGCAACGTGCTGCACTCGATACACGAAGTGTTCACTCTCACAGTAAGTTCCTGCTATCAGCTCGCTTGTCTTCTCGGATAGCTGCAAGAGGTTCGTGTTGCTGCTGTTCGGGCAACGTGCTCTACCGGTTCAGCATGCGAGTTTTCATTCGCACTCGTGAAGCCAGCACCCGTCACACCGAAAACAGTCAAGTGTCGCTTGGACCCACTCAACGCTGCCAACACATGAAAAGGTTTGAGCGGAATGAAGCTCACGTTTTCAGGGTAGCTGCCGTCCGTGTCATAGTGCTTCAGACTACGGTCGAGGAAGTCAACGTCATACTCACCGTCCCTAGAGCAGGGGCACCGACATGCACGTGATGAAGATGAGCGCTGCAGCAAGGTTGATGTAGACTGCCTGCGTGCCTAGCTACCTGCATGAACAAAGTCGCCGCTGAGGTCGCTGCTGGGCCCGCAGTAGTTCGCGCAAGACGAAATGCTCGTAGCTTTCCAGCTGTTTCATTGATTGAGCCTGTGGACAAAAGCCATCGTCTTGTCAAGATGATCGGGCTGGTCTTGGCCCCGATGCTTTCAATGGCCCCTTCAAGAACATCGGATCTCACTTGCTGTCGATCTCACTTTGTGGCTCGATTAAACACACGAAGCAGCGGCTAACGTGCCCAAACCCGCGAATTGCTGCTCTGCAGCTCGCCGATGCATGTTTAATTGAGATTGCACCACCCGTTGCGTGAAAATAGCCACAAAGCGCCGCAACTTTTCTCCATTGGGCTTTTCTAGCTGGTGGACGGTGTCACGTATGGTACGGGATCAGTGTGCCAATGCTGACCAAATACTCTTGTCCCGCAACGACTTTAATCTGGTGCTAACCGTTGGTTATGCCACAGCTTCGGATGGGCTGGCAGCCAAAGACAGCCGAGCAAAAGTGAGTACCATAAACACAACGACGGGGGATCATGTAGGCGGATTGATTGGCTTGAAGTGCAAATGCGAATATTGCCAGACTGAATACAAGACGAGTGCTGTTCGGTTACCGGCTCGCTGATGACGTTCGTGGAATGTGATGTCGCAGTCCTGAAGGACGCTCTTGTACAGCTCGTTCTCCCAACGCAGAAGGAGGGACGCATAATGCAGATGAACAGTCACATATACTTGTGCGGTTGTTTGTGTTGCATCACACCTTCCCCGCAAATTTCAACACAACAAGATACTGGGATGAACAAATCCATTCCGTGTCACGCGTCCCAGGGTCTTTCCGCAAACATGCTACAAAAGTGGCATGCAGCCAGAGGGTGGTAGAATCGAACAACCTAAGCACATGCATCCGAGATTATGTCGATTCCAGGATGCTTTCACTCATGCTTGTCGCATTAGTTAATGGGGTGACTCTGGACGTAATTCGAGACACGGCGGTCTATCCACAGTCGGCAACAGTATTCTGCTTTCTCCAGCTAGCGTCCGACTGCTAATTCTTCCGTTCCCTCGTCGAAGTGAACATGTTGACCCAGCACTGGCGAGCTTGAACACTGTTCATTAACACGCGAATACTGCACTTTACTTCGTCCCAGTCGAGCCTCTGGAGCTGGTTTTGCGCACGTGGGCTTCATTCTTCGGCGACAGCGACGTTGAAAACTAAGGTTGACCACTACTAGTAGCACAATTCCTACGAAAAGTGCCAGCGCGGCTATGCCCAACGACGACATAAGTGACGGTGAACACGATGCACACTGCTTCGCTGTCATTTCTGCTGATGCAGCATCAGCGAATTTGACGTCAGGAACGGGTGTAGGGGCTGCAGTCTTTGGTGCTTCAACATGTTCGACGAAGTCACCGACGCTATCTTCAATTGTTGTGCTGATGGAAATGGCATGGTCGACATTCCGAGTACGAATGGCCTTCAGCAGAGCTACATCCTTGACGCCGGAACAGACTAAAGAGTCGTACTGAGAATCATCAGCCTCATCTAAATTCGCTGAAACACCAAACATCTCGCAAGTTCCGCAGCGAGGCAGTGGCAGCGCAGCCCACGTGCGGAAAGTTGAGTGACGTGCGCCAGCGTAAAAATGAACCGCTAAGTCCGCACACAAGGGAACAATGAATAGTAATAGCTTAGTAGACACTCAACCCCGCATCACAGACTACTGATAACGTACCAACGCGGAAGAGATGGCAGCTCAAAGCGTCCCCCACAACCAAATATAGTGTCTCACTCTCCTGTATAGACTGACGGTAATCTCCTCCGGAATAAGGAATTATCAGCGTGTGGTCTACTTCAGCCAAATTTCCTGAGCCATCAGGCACTGCTTTGAGCTCAAAATGAACAGCATCGCTGGCATTGGTTCCGTTGACAAACATGGACCCTACTAAATCCGCCGCAGCAGAGCGCAATCCAGTGTTCGAAATTCTTACATCAACGGAAATAAAAGACACAATCGACCCGTCGTTATCGACGGTGCCTAGCCGAATGTCATTCACCACCAATGCATACACGGGACCCGCAATGCGCGAAATATACAGATTTGGATAATGAAGCTCGGCAGATAGCTGAGGAACTTCATCGCGTTGTGGCCAAAATCCCATTACAGATTCCACATCGAATGCTGGACCAACCTCAGGTGACATAGCAAAGATGCCATGCGCCTGCCACATCCAATCGCTTGTCTCTCCGTTGACCGTGTACAAACTGCTTTCCTTCCAAGATTGGCCATAGCGAAATCCATTAAAACGGACCACTTCTTGAGCCAACGCTACGAAGACCGAATTGTTTAATTCGCTTGGCCCACCTTCGACCTGGCAGGCAAACGGGATATTAACAAACTTGCCGTACGAGTGGTAATTGAGCGCTACACTGAAGTCGGAGGTATTACGCGTCACAAGATCGCGCACAGCCTGTGTTTCTGGTTCCGAGAAAGCGCTAGGCCCGTTGTAGTCATCTCCGCACGGAACGTTGCTACTACCCTTACTGTCCCGTGCAAAGCAGACGTCGTAATTGCGGTTTAAATCCACCCCTGCATCTGCAGAGCTATTATCACAAGTCGGTGCTGCGCTTTTGCGCTGCCCGATTTTGTCATGTTCCCATACGCGAGATTTCTCATTGCGTGCGTACCCATCCGGGTTTACAACCAAAATAAACCAAAGCTGGCGAGAAGTAAGCAACTCCAATGCTGCCAAGTCTCCATTGCGATAATCTGATGTCAAAATGTCGATCGTGTAGACCATATTCTTAACAAAAAGAATCGACAAGAAAGAGCGTGAGATCGCACACAATGAGAATGAGTCCACGCAGAAGACTTACCATCATGGAGATGGGCTAGAAAAATAAATAAAAACATACAAGAAAAATATTTGACGTGAGTTCGTGATGCAAAATAGCGTTTCAGCACACGGACGACTATAGCAATGTATTCAAAAAAAGTACCTCGCGAGCGTGGTGCATGCCTGTGAAAAGCGCTTGAGGAACCTTTTGCTCTTGAGGAGCATAGCATGCACCGAGGCAGAGCGCACGAAGCGGCCGTTTCTCAACTGATTGTCCAAGCTCTTCAACTTTCGTTATCAACGGAAATGTCGCAGCCACTTCATCAATGTAGGCCTCCACTTCCTTTACCGAGAGTGACCCCCGGATGGAGCCAAGTCGAGGGGAAAACGCTACAGATCAATCAGACGGTAAGAAACGTCATGCAGCTGACAAAGAAGCAGTCCACATACGTTTTTGCACACGACAATTACTTGCACTCGAATAGCTTGGAGCGCAAAAAGGGTCCGACGAGTTTCCTGAGCTCATTGTCATTCGTCTGACCGCCATTGTGGCATCAGAGCCATTGACACTCAAGTCCACAACAAGCACGGGATCCTCGTCGCTCGCGCTTTTTTCACTACCGTCTGCTTCTTGCATATATTCTTCCAGTAACAGTACGTCGTCCACATACCACCGCATCCACTCGTCGTCCCATACAAAGTCCACGTCGTGGAACGCGTCCGCGACATTCTTAAACACAGCGACAAACGGCACACGCAAGACGACAGAAAGAGACAAAGCGTCATTGTCAATAACATCATTTTGTTGATCTTCTCGTCACGAAGCGACGCACCGAAATGCACGGCAGCTCTGCTGCGACCACCGACGTGTTAAGCTGCGACGAGCCCAGTGCCACTTCATTCGTTGCTGCAGGAAAAGGAACGGAGCCCAAGGCCATTGTCAATTGAGTCCGTACTGGGAGCTGCACGCGTACAGTCGCTTGTCCAGTCTAAGTAGTCCTCACATAATCGTAGCCACATTCACAGTGAGTGTGCTTCTTCTGCTATTTCTTCAGCAAATATCTCAATACAAACGTCACTCGAGTATGTCAGAAAAAGGACAGCACCAAGTACGTACCTGTGGCAATTGTATCGTTAACGAGAGACGGTACAGGGTCTTTGAAGCGATACATTCTGCAAGTGAAAAGCGAAAGCTCGAGCCATTGTTATTGGCTGAAACCACGACGGCCCCAGGCACGAACGAAATGGCTGACATGTCGACATTCGTCCACTTTACACGCTGCTGCGCTTGCTGTTGTTGTAGAGCCGATCGGTTCGAAATGGCAGCAGCATCTAGTTCCCACAAACGCGTGAGCTCGCACTCGGGTGCGCGATGGATCTCCATATCAATTTTAATTCGTGTCGGCGCACCCGATTGGTGGAAATACAACCGACGCCAGGCGTGGTCACTACCGACCCATCCTGTAGTGACAACACCAGCTGGCCCGCGTGCTGAACTTTACTGCGTGCGGATTCGTCGAATTACTAGCATGCGCATTAATTTCATCCAATCGCACGTCGACCATCGCGGCTGCCAACGTCCTGATGCCATCACTTGGGAATGTATTATAGAAATGGACGTTTCGCACGCCTTAGAAACGGCGGACCAAGCGCTGCGGACGCGCGTCCAGGCCGTGTCCATGCGGCGACGCCCTTCGGACGATGACAAGGCGTCCGTGACGTCTGCGCCAGGCTCCGAGTGGATTCGCCGTCGGCCAAGGAAGATGACGGTCGAGTCGAACGGTCGTCCAACGAAACAGACGCGAAGATGTGAGCCGTTGGACGACGACCGCTGTAGTTTACCGACGCTGGAGGGTTGTGTGTCCCCCGATCGAGTGACATCGCTATCCATTGTGTCAAGTAATAGCAGCACAAGTCGACCTCAGGAGTGGAAACCGCACAAGAACCAGAAGACCAAGAAGCACAAGCAGACGAGTCACGAGCGAACTGGAGGTTGTCACGCTACTGCCAATGGCAATAGCAGTTATACGAGTCGAAGCAACGACATTTACTTTGCACCACACTCCCCCGATCCGTCGACGGCGTACTCGGTTCAATCACGGACGGGAAGTTGCATCTCTCACCTCTCAGAAAGAAGAGGAGCAGCGGTCTTGACGGACGTGCAGGGCCCGAGCTTTGCGTTGCCATTGTATCAGAAAGAGTCAATGAAGAAGACGTCGACGAGCACGAGGTCGTACGCTCGAGGGTTGGACTTGGAACGAGGACGCAAGTTTAATGAAAATGAAGACGACGAAGATAATGAGGATGATGATGAACGGGAGCGCGACGACGCGACGGGAGATGATGTGCACATGTTTATGAATGGAGCTCCTCATGTATCCATTGAAGAAGCGCAAAAGTACACTTTTGCGATTGTGTTGAAACACACGGAGCAGATTTTTCAATTACTGAAGCGGCGGTTTCCATCGCGCTCAGCTGCTTCAATACGACGGGATTTGCCACATCACGTGAGCATGCTGCAGCAGAAGTGTGTGCGACGACTGATTCAAGCTGGACTGGGCGTGATTTTGCTGGATGATGGATTGTACGATAGCTATTTGGATGCCCAGCGGGGAGATCACGGCCGACATGATCTCAAGGGCCCAGAGGAGAAAGATGTGGCTAGGAACTTGTGCATTTTGGTAGATCCCAAGAAAAATCCGGACTTGTTGCTGCATGAGTTTAAGCGTGAGCTGGACGAGCTGTCGATCAAGCGTGGTGATGCACTTGGGCGGCTGGCAGAAGAGTCTCTCGACTCGTTGAAAGGAATGTGTTTTTCGCCAGCTTTGGAGCTGCAGCTCACGCACAATATCATAAAGAACGCTTTCAAGGATTATGACAAGGAAGAATGGGTTATTGACGTGAACAAGGAGCTTACTGTGACTGATGTCATTGTCGAATGCTTTCCGCTGCACGATCGTGCATTCAACAGAAAGTTTTTTGACGAGTATCGTAAGCGAACATTCGAGTTGAATTTGCGCAAAGCGGCGGCAGGCAACAGTGATCGCTGGGCAGTGGAAGAACTCCGTCTTCATTTTGGCGAACGCGTGGCGTTCCTGTTTGCGTTCATGCACATTTACACTAAACACTTGCTGCCGCTTACGATGTCATGCCTCTTCTACTATTTGTGTTTCCGCTTCACATCCGCGCCTTTGTGGAAGGAGTACATGGAAGGGTTGGCGGTTATCGGTGTGTTTGTGGTCTGTTTTTGGGGGCCGTCTTTCCTCGTTTGCTGGGCTCGCGAGACGCGTTTGCTTGTGGAGAAATGGAACTTGACTAAGTACAAGAATACTGTGTACGAACGTAATGACGACAATCCTGGTTTCAAGTACATGTGGGTGAAGAATCGGCTCACGCATGAAATGGAGAAGGTTCCCAAGCAGCGCAAGAACCATTGGATCCAGCTTACCATGTTAGTGTTCGTTTTGATATGCGCACTTATTCAGTGCGTGTGTCTTGTTCCGTTTATCCAGTGGTATGTGTACGCGAAGAATGCCCCCACATGCGATGCTTGCAATGGTGACAGTGAGGAGTCTTACCCCTGTATCTGGTTTATGACGTGCTTTAACTCGACCACTTCTGCATTGGGTACGGACCGGTGGGTATATATTCTCATTCAAGGCGTCATCCTCGGTTTGCTCATCGACATCATTTTCTTCGAGCTTTTCAACTGGATGTCGGAAAAGTTTGTACAGTGGGAAAATTACGCGAAAAAGTCTGATCACGAAAACCGTCTCATTCACCGTCGGTTTGTGTTCGTGTGGAGCAATTGGTTTTTCTGGTTCCTTTTCATTTCATTTGTCTACATGCCGTTTGGCGATACCATTTTGGAGCTGTTTCACAAGTTTGGCCTTGGCGCGTTGGCACCGTACGAATGGAACCCAAATCTGCTGACGGTCGACACGTTATTTGTCACCCCGCTTGTGGTCACACAATTGCTGAACATGCTTCTCGAGACGATAGCTCCCTATTTGCTTCGCAAGCTTCGTGGTCGCCCATCTATCGGTTGTCGTCAAGCTTCACCGTTTGCGTGGTGTGTGCGCCACCTGTCGAGGTGTTTCCGCTTTCGGTCGCGCCAGGCGCAGTCTATGCAACCTACGAATCGGAACACTCCGGAGATAGCTAGTGGCTTTGTTAAGTCTGAAGTTATTGAGAATCGCGTTCCTGCCACGAATCTGACAGCAACTCGTCTGGCACAATCGGTTCAAAAGGATACGGGCTTTTCTGTGAACGTGTTACCAATGTCAGATGACTCGAACAAGTATTCGGCGTACGAGATTCTGGCAGAGGCAAAGCTACCGATATTTGACCCAGTGTTGGATTACTTGGATGCTTGTATCCAGTTTTCGTATGTGATGATGTTTACAGTAGTGTGGCCGTTGCTGCCGTTACCAGCTTTCGTTAACAATATTTTAGAAGTTCGCGGTGACGCATTCCGACTGTTGTTTGCGAACCGGCGACCGATGCCACGGCGCGATACATCGATCGGCGAGTGGGCCACAGTTCTTGCATACGCTAATATCATCGGTGTGACTGTAGTGTCAGCTTTTGTAGTGGTGTATCATTATGGATACTTTCGAACAAACTGCAACTTTACATTTAGCAACGCGTATGTTGTGCCTTTCGGGATTATCAAGCATGACGAGACTGCCGATCCCTAGCTTGTGCGTGAATGACAGTGAAACACCGCGGTGGCGCATGTTCCAGATTGTGCTGTTCGTGGTGCTTGAGCACGTGAGTTTTTGCGTTCGTTATCTGGTGATGCAGGCCGAGAAGACTCCTGCCTCAATTCGTAGTTCAGGCTATCAGCGGCTGAAACAAATTCAGCGCCTGACTGCAACCCCTGCTGCTCCTCCCTCTCAGCTCGAGTACGTGCAACGTCTACGAGTGCTGTTTGAAAAGTACGATATTGATGGCGACGGGCATCTGGCGGAATCTGAGCTGACTCAGCTTCTAGCGGCCTGGTTGTGCAAGCACCCATCGGAGCTACTGCCGTTCTCGGGACTAATCTTCCGTTATGTGGACAAGAACAAGTTGGGTAAAGTCCCGTTTTCTACATGCTGCCTTATGATGCAGCACGTGAACCATGACCGATTCTTCTCATGCCTGTTGGGTCTATACGATCCCCTTCACGGAGCGTACAACGACGAGATTCGCCGTACTTGTGATCCCATTGAGTTGCACCGTGTGCTGAGCGAGGCTTCATCCGAGGTGCAGTTGCGCCGCAGCAACATGAGCGGTGCTTCTGACGCTACAGACACTTCGCGATTACGTGACTCCACCTTCTTTTACGTGGACAACTAAATCAGGATGGGAAGACGGAGCCTCACTATTCGATCTTTCCATGCTGATCTATTGATGTGTCTAGCTCGAGTTGGGATTGCTTCCACGCCAGATTCCAGACACATTGCAGCGCGCTTCGTCAAAAGGGACGTCCGTGACAACGTGGAATAAGTTGCCACTGCAGAAGAGCTTGCGGTCACGAAACGTCTTGTCGATGTTTATGTGCAGAAATCGAATAGCTGAGTGACATACTTGGTTCCCAGCGCTCCTGCATGTTGTGGGAGTTACAGAATTGGGTGGTGATTATCAACGTGGAACCTGTGACGCGACAGTCTCGGGCTACTGTTGCGAAGAAAGACACGTGACATTTTTATCTGGGACACACGGCACCGGAACTAGGCTGATGCCTCCTGGATACGGGCATGGTCGGCGATGTATCGATTTCCCGAACCTGCAGCATTTCGCGAATCGCACGTGTAGACACATTGATGCCTCTATCAGCAATGATCGATTGGGTCTGTTACCGATTTTCTTCAATAGGTCGCCTGCAGGTGACGTTGGGCACTTGAGCTTGTCACGAATGTTGATCATGGCAACAGCCATAGCATACATCTTCGCGCTGTCGAGCTCCTGCCGTCTAAATTGGTCTGCTCGTCAACAAGTGATCTGAGCTGCCTCACATTGAACTCAGCATCTTGCAATATCATTCCGTCACTGTCTTGCAACATCATTCCGTCGCTGCATTCCATCCTGTTTCGGCTCGTGAGTATGTGCGGTTCAAGTCTATGAAGGACCTTGAAAACGAGGTCGCTGCGCCCACCCCACCCGCCTCCGTCAATGAATTGTGCTATTAACACCGTACATTATTCCGCTCTTTGTCCGTTCTTCTGTGTATCTTTCTTGCTCGATCGATCCCATTTCCTGGACCCCACCACCAGTAGCTACTGACCCCGAACGAACGACCCGTCTGACGCGTCACATTTGACACGTCAGTCAGTCGTCCACCACCAGTCATTGCAACCGTCACATCGTAAAACTGTTCAGCGGATCTTCAAAGATCGGATCGCGTCGCTCTCGTGTCTGTCTCCAAGCGGTCGGGCACCCATTTCGTCCCGATCACAGCATGGCGCCGCACACAACCGAGCACGCGCGTCTTCTCCCCACCAAAGCGTCTCCAAGTCCTCGTCGACCGTACCGCTCCATCATCCTCAGCGTCTGTTCCTTCATCCTCGTGACCGAGTTCTGCGAACGTCTGGCCTACTATGGTCTCTCCGGGTCATTGCCTATCTTCTTCCATCGCAACTTGGGCCTCAGTACAGTGCTCGCGACGGAGCTCAATTCCACCTTCACGTCACTATCGTACCCTCACGCCGTTGCTGGGGGCGTACGTTGCTGACCGCCACCTCGGTCGGTTCTTGACCATTGGCGTCTTTTTGTGCGCTCTACATTGCGGGCCTCGCCCTCTGCGTATTTGCGTCCTTGCCCGCTGTCTCGTCTCGACCGCTCTTTCTTCTCGGCCTCTTTGGGGGCGTGGCACTTGGTGCAGGAGGCATTAAGCCCAATGTCGTCGTGCTCGGAGCGGACCAATTTGACGTGTCGATTCCTGCGCAACGCGCGGAGAAGGACAGTTTCTTCAATTGGTTCTACTGGGCCATTAACATTGGCGCGACCTTCAGCTACGGCGTGCTCACGAACTTGGCCGTGAATGGCCTCCCCGCCCTACATCTCGCCTGACTTTTTGGCTTTTTGCTTCCTTTGCGATTCCCTCGGCGGCCTTTATGCTTGCAGTGGTGGTGTTTTATGCTGGAAAAGACCGGTACCGGCGCGTGCCGCCTAAAGGTAGTGCCCTGGCCAAGTTTTTCAACATTTTGATCCAGGCTGGAGCCCGTTCAAAGCAGGGCAAACTCGTGCTAAGTGGCGGATTTGCGTTCATCCCAGGCATTGTGCTGACGACTGTGTCGTATTTTATTCAAAGTGACGCGGGACACCTTGCTATGGCACTTGCAGGTGCAGGAGCTGTTGCCTATGGGACGTTTGTCCTCATTTTCTCCGGAGCGGCTACCAAGTGGCTAGAGCTAGCGATGCGCACAAAAGGAGGGTCGTTCACAACTCAAGAAGTGCAGGATGCAGCTCAAGTGATGCGCTTAGCACCGTACCTTGGGATTATCATTATTTTCTGGGCGGTCTACGGTCAAATGAACTCGAACTTTGTTGTCCAGGGCTGTCAAATGGACCTGCGTGTCAAGGGTCAAGACGACGTACTCATTTCCTCCGCCATGCTCAACATTGTCGATTCCGGCGTCATTCTCGTCTTCATCCCCGTCTTTGATCGGCTGCTCTATCCGCTGCTGACGAGAATGGGCATTTACCCGTCACTTCTGCGCAAGATCGGAGCTGGTCTTGTCTTCGCTCTATTGGCGATGCTGACAGCAGGCTGGATGGAGCGTGTTCGCAAGGTCAGTCCCATGGTTGAAGGCGTTTACTCCAACTGCAGCGCAGCGGGTGAAGCTCTCCCCATGTCAACAATTAGTGTGTGGTGGCAGACCCCGCAGTATGTGCTAGTAGGCGTGGCCGAGATCCTCACGAGTATATCATCGTACGATCTCTTTTATTCGGAAGTCCCTGAGTCCATGCGGAGCGTGTGTCAAGCGCTCAATCTATTGACGACGACGCTGGGCTTCATTGTGGCGGGTGCACTCAACAGCATCTTCTCCTTCTGGATCACAAGCGACCTCAACGACGGCCATCTCGAGTATATTTACTACTTGATGGCACTCCTTGTGCTCGTGATGCTGGTGGCTTTCATGTTCGTGTCGCAGTCTTTTGAGTATCACGTGCCTCCGCCCGGCCTCGACACCGTATCTGGTTTCTCTCCTGCGCTCTCACGCGCTGCCCGAGACCTGCGAAAGAAGCTGCAGTTCCAACGCAATGGCAGAAAGTAAGCTCCTGTACGTAACAGCGCTCGATTGACAAGTGAGCTGAGCTAGTGTAATAGCGATGACGAGACCGTTAGTCATGCTACAAAAGAATATCAATAAAGACGCATTGTTCCTGCTAAGCTTACCGAAAACAACACCCGTGCCTTAGCTCTTCTGCAAGTACGAGAAGAGGCCTTGCATCATGACTTTGGCTTCACCAATCGCTTCGCCAGCGATGTCGCGCGCTGTGCTTGTCACGGCTTTGGCGTTGTCGAATGTTGACATGGCTAGTATTTGAGCGTGTTGCACCGTGCCCTTGACACGCTTAAGTTTGGAAGAGACTCCGAGCAGTCGACGCACATTCGTTAAAAACGACACGGAACCGCTAGCGTCTGGAAGCATCTGAAGCGACAATGTGCCGTCTTCATGACCAGAAGCGAGCAGGATCACCGCCTCCTCAGGACCGAAAGACATTGCGGTGATCATTGAACCTGCAGGCGACGAGGAGACGTATTCCTGCAGTGCAACAAAGCTGTAACCCAAAGCATCGTCAGTCTCACATCCGATGGACTACAAAAGTACAATTCCTCCATTGTCGACAAGTAACACATGACGTACTCTTCGATGCGGCAGATACGAATGATACCCGGATAAAGTGTAAGAAAAAGTACGTCTCCTTCAGCGGACACTTGCAAATCCAACACCTCCTCAGACGGAAGGTGGTGCGACTGAATCAACACGCCAGACAAACCGAAAACCTGGCAGATAGTGGAGACCACGACGCGCTGTCGCAAGTCGTCGCTGTCCATCTCACTCGTATCGGTCGCATTTTGAAAAATGCTGGTAACAGCTATCACGTATCCTTTATCAGATAAACAGACGCGGACGATTTCACCTCCGTCCTCAGCAGGCTCGAAATTAAACGCCACTTGTCCTTCATCGTATAGAAAGTGGACCATGCCAACGGAATGCGAGCAAGAAACGACTACCCCAATGTACGTGCTAACGCAACAATCCACGATGGGTGCTACATGTCCACGGAAGATTTGAATTGGACGCGGAGATACCCGGGGTAAACGGAAAAGCATGTCAGGCTTAAGGCGTGAGAGGCGCCATAACGCAAGAGTTCCATCTTGGGATCCAGACACAAGCAACTCTTCATCGCTTTGTGAAGTAGGGACAACAAGCTGGTTATGGTTATGATAGCTCCAGCGATCCAAGCTCAAACATGTGACTGCAGCGCTGTGCCCAACCACACTTGCCTTGCCAATCACGTGACCGTTGTCGAGATCGAGCAAACGAAAGTGAAGAGCTCCGCTACGCGCACCTCCAGACACAAGCACACGCCCATTGCGGGATATACTTACAGGAAATTTGTGGTGCCGTCCACGCAGATTATGGTTTTCGTCGTCGTCATGAACGTGATCAAACACAGGTATCCTTGGAACATACTCAAACGGGGAATCATCACGAGCAAACTCCAGAAGCCACGGGCAAGCGATTGCTAGATCAGCTCCACTTTTTTCACCACTGTCTGGCTCCACGGGTAGATCACTGGGCAATGTACCTGCCTCGCTGTCTCGCTGTGAGCCCATTGCGGATACAAAGCCATCTCTGTCGCTCACAACGCTCGCAACCTTGCAAGGCTCGACAACAAACGTTTTTGGAGGCGCCCCTGGTAGCTTTGGCGACGCAGTCGCAGATACTCCATGGAACGAAGATGGCAACGGTGCCGCTGGTTTTGGTACCAGTCTCCAATAGTAAATCTCGATTACGCCAAGCTCATTCACGCTGACAACACGGTCAGGAAGAATCTTCAACAGTTTGATCCCACTTTGAACGATTGGCTTGACTGTGGCGACGGGGCTCCAGTTTTGACGCTTCTCTTGTGCAATGGGTGAGAAATCATGAAAAGCTTGTGACAGCGGCCGAAAATGGTTGCTCGATGGTCCATTGAAGACACCCTCTTTTCCTGGTAACCCTCCAGTGCGCGGTGGACTCATCGTTTCTGAAAGGGATGCGCTGTTGGGTGCAGAGGAAACCACCTTGCCGACTGCATTACGAGAAAAAGCATTATCCCGCGCGGGGTGCGGGGCAGCAAAAAGCTGCATAGGGCACTGACCAAAGTGTGCAATTTGCAATTCCATGGATTCTCTCAAACTCGGATCCTCCACTTTATCCAAATCGACAACACCATAGTACGTCAGATAGTAGAAGACGTTGTTTGCTTGGAGTGCTGCTCGCCCTCGCTGCTTGTATCCAAAAATGAGATCGATCCACGAGTGCAAATGAGAAGAGACGTGCTCGCTCTCGAGCGCCGCACGGTGAATTTGTACAAATTCCTCAGGCGTACTTGCCCACTTCGGTAACTGTACGTCGTCCACAGCTTTTAGGTCATGGCGCTTTCCCAGTGTGTAACCATTTCGATTGCACAGAAAAGTGCCATCACTGGAGAAGAATTCCGGAGTCAACTCTTTCACTTCAGACATTTGTGAATTGCACATCCGCCACGTTTCTTGGATAGAGTAAAATAAGCGGTCTGGCAGATCAAAGGTGCCATTTTGCATTTTTTTGTGGAGGCTTGCGAAAGGTTCAAGTCGGAAAAGGAAAAAGAGGACAACTCCAGCGCAAGTCGAATAGTGAGAGCCATAAAGAAATTTGGGAATTACTGGGTCGTCGAAAGAGTAGTAACGTCCCCAATATTCCTCCAGCCGCTTTGCATTCAACGCACCCATAGGTTTGGATAGATCTCGGAAGTTCGCTGGGTCGCTCAAATCCAATGTGGGACTTTCATAGTTCGAAAGCACCCATGGAAATACCGGGTACTGGGTCAGATCATTAAAACTGCGTCCTGCAAAAGTATTCAGTGCCATGAGGTAATCGAAGTTGCTGATCTGCCGGTTTTGCCAAGCCTGAGTGGTGGCTGCTAAGTGTGGAATAATGCGCCCGGGCCACTGCTTAGGAGTACTTCGAGGGAGGAAAGAATACAGTACCCGTACGATCTCGTTGCGCCGTTCCTTCGACGTGATCGGCCAATCCAGAAAGTGAGTGCTACCATTGCGTAGAAAAATCTCGATCGCCGAGTCACGTAGTCGGTAGCGACGGAGGTAAACACCTACAAGATGGGTGTACTTCCACTGCCAACATCGTTGCAGCCCTGGCGCTGCATCGTCCGCATTCGTACTTGAAAGTGCAGGAAGAGTTCTATCGTCAAAGTCGACCGTGCCGGCATTAATGCCTCCTTCTGGGTTCCAAGCATCCTCGGGAATCTCCTGTCGTGGCTCAAAGGCGATGTACTTGCCGCAGAAAGACAGACGACCGAGAACAACTCCTTCTGGAACCACCCGTTTGCATGTTACGCAGGCGTACACTGCGTCATCCGGTGCAACAGCAATTCCAGCGCCAGGATCCAGGCCCTTTTCGTCCTGCCCTATCACTGTTCCTTTCGAAGCTGCAGGACTAGACATACACGAACTCGACTTGTTTTCGTCGTCCTTCGGCTTCACTGGTATGGCACAACCCCTGTACTGTTCTAAATATTCTTCGTTTGCAAAGGGGCGTGCCTCTGCCTCATTACCGCCTTTATCACTTTCTGTGCTCGAAACGTAAGTGTCCATTAAAGCAGAGAGTACAAGAGAATCATCAGACGTAATGTCCTTAATTGCCCCACCACGCTGCTGCGCTACTACACGACCCACTCGCTTCAGCAAGTTTTCACTAGATGCTGGATCGCGATTACTTGTTTCACGTTCTTCTGTATCATGAGGCATCTCGAAAGGTGCAGCTCGAGCTGATAAATGATCGACAGCTGGACTTCCCTCTGCTTCACTTCGGCTACCAAGGTATTGCTTAACGACCAATGCTAGCATATTTTCCGAGCTTAATTGTAAATTTACGTCGATAGTACGTCGCATTCGGGAAGGAAATGGTGCCTCGTACACACCGGCCTGCCACATAAGCGTCTTCTGCATCGCAGCCAATGTCGTCGGCGCCACACATCGCAGTGCATGATATTGGTTTTGCGATCGAAAGGTCAACTCGTGTTTCAGCCACAGCTTTTGGGTCCACTCCTGCTCCTGTTTACGCCGGATTGACCGCGCAGTCTTTGCACGCTGATATTCTCGGCTTGAAACATCCCGCAGATTTGCCAACATCTGATTCCCTTCAACTTTCAGTGCTGCCCAAAGCACCTGCTCGCTGTCATCAGCATACTCTGCACCAGAATACCTTTCGTACGATCGTGATGATACTGCCATCGAATTGTTCGAATTATCAGCAGTGTCCTGCAAAGGACTTTGCAGCTCCTTCGCTACCGGAAAATACGGCACCATGTTGTCCTGTTCCTCTTGCTCGTGCAGTTCGGTATCATTGATCGCTAACGCCAGTGCGTCCAATACCACTCGAACAGCCTGTGATTCAGTGAGCTTGCCAAGGTCGTAGACTGATAGCCCAGCAGTGCCCAACTCGTCATCGAAGGATCCGGATGTACATATCCGCAGGGTCAGCTTTCGCAGTAGCTCCAATAGTTCCTCCTTCTGATGGAAGACCAGTGCGCGACGGAGATCGACAAGGGCGCGTAGGAAAACCTCACGCGTCGGCATCATTGCATACACGCTCAGACAAGAACCGGCAGTTATCTCCTGCTTGAAGCTTTGTGTCAGCACCTGCACTATTCGCTCCATCATGCATTTGCCGTGTACGAACGGTAATGCATGTTGCAGGATCTGTAGGCCTGGCAAAAGCCCTATGCGGTGAATATTGTGAGTACTGTCGATCAATCGGGCGCACATGTCCAACACCGCATTCAGCAGAAAAAGCTGCGCATCGGATCTCATATACTTATTCGACGGACCATCCAACGCTGGCTCTGGAAACGGCCCTAACAGTACGATCAGTAGCGTCTCATTAGCAAGAAATAGTAAACGCTGCACATTTTCGGCAAGTATCCGGGACAAAATCGTTCGGCTTCTTGCCATACGTTGTAGTACAATGCCAGCCACACGACACATCCAATTCAGTGGTGA